CGGGGAACGAATCTTTAGATTCGGTACTCGGTAAAAAGAATAATTTGTACACAACAGTAATATAATTAGCTCATATGGTGAACTTATGAAAGAAAAATGTGCACATTACAAGTGATATGAGTTCAAAGTCCTCCTATTATATGTTGAAATCGAGAACGAAATGGAGATATTATGAACTCTCCTCAAGAAACTCAAAACTGAAAATACAAATTAGATCTGTTAAGAAGAGGGGGAGAATCAATTATTGAAATTTTGAAAATGATTTATGCATCACACTGAAAGTGTGCAAATCATAAACTGAATGATACTGATGGTGGTTAAATATATGAAATGATATGATGGTGGAAAGATACGCTGGAAGCGTTGGTATTGTGCAAATTGAAATTCCCCAAATAAGTGATGAAAGGAGGCATATATATACTATCGATGAAATTAATTGATAATGAGATATCTCAATATATTACGGGGAATAATGGAAATGAATATGTGTCGACACAAACAGATGAATAGCGCTATATAAATGATATTGATGAGAATGGCTGAAATGAGAATATTGAGAACTATTGGCAGTAAGACCATTGAAATCGGTTGATGATGAAAATGAGTTTAAGAATGAAAGTTGCACAAAAGCATAATATAACATATTATCATGAATACCACCAGTATCGGAAAAATTGAATGAATCTATATGATACTCATGAAAAAGTTATTATAGTGAATATATGGAATACGCGTTGTACTCTTTTTCCCTTGGCTAAGGTTTTGTCCCATTGGGTTTTCCTAGCAAGGTTTTTAATGAGGCAACATGGATGGCGTATTCACATGAATAGTGTACTCTTTTTCCTTCATTAGGATTTTGTCCCACTGGGTTTTTCCTAATAAGGTTTTAACGAGGAACATTCATGATATAATGAGGACTACTGGATAATTGATATGATTCCTCATTATGATGAGAAAACACTGGAGTAGCTGTACTCTTTTTCCTTCGATCAAGTTTTTTCCCATTGGGTTTTCTTGACAAGGTTTTAACGAGGCAGCACGTGAATACTCCATTAAAGATGATCTATTTGAGGGGGAGCAATGTTGTGCTTCCTCAATGCTCAGGTTTTGTCCCACCGGATTTTCCTGAGGATAGATGTTGTGATTCCATAATGATCAGGTTTTGTCCCACTGGGTTTTCCTGAGGAAGCAATGTTATAATTTCAAGATGATCAGGTTTTGTCCCACCGGGTTTTCCTGATATACTGAAGCACCAGTACCGATGGCTACAAGATACACTTCAAGATATTCAGATTGGGCGTTGTTCAAATCAGTTAAAATATGTTTAGAAATAGTCATTCAAGGGGGAGTGTTATGAATTATTTGTTATAAAATAATGTATGTGAATGACTATTTTGCCCCCGATGTAATTGTATTATTACGGTTGTGCCATCAGAAGTTTCATATAAATAGGAGCTTCAGTTATAATGAAAATCGTACCTAAGAGAATACATTTTCTCTATTGTCTCTCTTTCTCTATAGTTTTATAATAATAGACATTAAATTT